CTGTTCCTTCCCTAAGTGTTGCCTGTATTGTTGGTCTTTCCCATTCAGCATCACTGGCCTTGTGCTATTCATGAATTATTTGCAAACGTGTGTGTTTTCCTTTCCCAAATAGACTGAAGGCTCCTTAAGGTCAACACAAAATCTAATACTCTCTATTCCTTATACTGAATGTCAAGATGCATATTAGACTCTAACAAGTATTTCCAGAGTAACTGAAATCAAGTCTAAAAACCCGAAGTGTGTTATCTATGGTTTTGCAGCTATAAATGTAACATGAGTAAAATATTTTATTTATTACAAGAATGTAAATTTAGCTCCTCATAAATATATACTATTAAAGTGTTTAGACAACCATATTTATTTATGGACTAATATCTTATTCAGTTAATGAAATGTATTTTATAAAGTGGTGCTTTAACAATTATTTTCCAATTACTAACCAAGTCAGAAATGCTTAGAAAATTCAAGACAGTTCATTTGAAATGCTCCAGTTGGTGTTATGCCAAAGTGTTTATAAATAGAGCATATATGTAAAATGTACAAAAATTTTTGTTTCAATCCTGTATTTCTTGATGGAACTTGAAATTAAAATGGTACTCACATGACCAATTAAATCTACCGCAACTACTTGGGGAATACTGGCAAGAAGAGTTTTTTCTTTTATTCCCTCTTATTTTACAAGTATTTTTAAGTGAAAAGGGCAGCATCCTTTTTAGAGTTTATTGAGAACTTCAAATATCTAGTCCCCAGAAGCAAGATTCATCATGAGGAGTATCTAAGGCCTAACCGAGTTTTCAAAATAGTGCCCACATATACCGTACTTGTTGAACAAATTCAGATTTATTGAAAGTAAACATTTACATTGGCTACAATGTTAGAACTATTACAAAGCTGGATAAAAGAGGCTTAAGTAGCAATAGAAAGCAAGTGCAGTAAAAAGTGAATAGAGAAAATATTTGGCCTTAGTGATCTTTTGGCAGTATTTACATTAGGTACATATTGTTAAATATTTATAATAACTCTAAGGCACCAGAGGCTAAAGAGCAGGTTGCAATACTATTTTGTGCACAAAAGTCAAGAAATTTATTGTAAAGAAGGCTGTAGAATTAAAGAAACATAGGCATATCTTAATGTTTACATAAAGGAGTGGCTGCATTTTTAAAATCTCAAATGACACATTAAATATCGGGCAGATTGAAGAAATTATTTTTAGAACATTAAATTATGTTGACTACGTAAATAAGCACTATTTTTTACTGACTTGCTGGTAAATGTGTAATGTAATCTATTCTTCAACACAGCTTTTTCACACTCATGGATATGATACGTTTTGTCTAAAAACTACTTGAAATTCCTTTGAACTACAAAAACTTATCCTAATATATCAGAGTGTATACAAAATTCCCAAGAAAAATTTACTGGATAATAATATACATCAAATTTATATATAATCTGACAAAAATTTAGCAGGCATTCAAGAATATTTGAATATTCAGTCTGCCATTCTGGCACAGCAGTTGGGTATTTTAATCCTTTAACTGTTTAGGGTGGGCAATTCTTTGTGGCTTCAGGTGAAAGGACATAAAATTGGCCCACGTAGAAAACCAATCCTAAAGGGAACTAATTATTTTCAAATTTTGCAACTTGAAACCCCTTCACTTACTCTTTGGGTGATGACTATGTTATTCATCACTGGTGATTGAAATATCCATATTACTGTATTGTCAAGAGGTAATTGACAACATAGATCTAGCATGGTCTTGACTGTCATATTATTTGATGACTTCTATTTGTAAAATTTTATTTGATCCTTATACTGAAAACCCAAACTTATCTTGACAAACAGTCTATCATTTGTCTTGAGGTAGTGTAATAATGAATTCAGCAGGACAACAGAATAACATCATAATATTTTTAAAGTGTGCTTCAAGTGCCACCGTGAAATCCATACATTTAGATGGTAGACAGTCCAAGGTTGAATGGACCTTCATGATGTATTAAATCACTATCTGATGAAGTCATCCAGACTTTAACAAGGATAATGAGGTCTTCCTTAGAACTTTCTGAAACCCCATGCCCTAAGGCAAGTTATGGTACAAGTTATGGTACAAAGTACTGATAAAATTCTTTCAGTGATAATAAAGATTCATAGACTTACATATTAAAAGTTTCCTTTCTTTTAGCTAAGGGGAGAATAATTGAGGGATTTCTTCTCTAAACTCTTAAATTTTTCAATGAGAAATATTCATAGCATTAACAATAGCTTGAGTAGGTTTCTTATATCACACAGTATTTGAGAGTGAATTTAAGGATGTGGCACTCTTATATTTAAATTTTAAATTTAGAAACCACCTTCAAATCCAACATTTGACTGAGATTTGCTGAGCAACAAAATAAAAATCATTTTAACATAACGCAATCTAAGGCACCAAAGTACCTTACCATAATGTATTCTACAGCACTAGGTTATATGTATATTATTACTTTTTCTCTTCTCGAACGTTCAATCATTTTCTTCTCTTTTTAAATACAGTGGACAATGAAAGAGGACAAATTATTCATAGTGAAATGTTTACAAAATCAGTAATGCAGGAAAAAAAGTAGAATTAATAAATTAAGGCTCTTCTTCTCCCACTTGAAGAATGAAAAGAAATGATTGCCTTTGCTCAGTGGGTTAATATTAAGTAGTAATGACTACATAATTAGTATAACTATTACAAAGAATCAGTGAACAGACTTCAAGTGATTATAGAAGTACAATACAATATCACATGTTTGGAATTATCAAATAAGTCAAAAGATAATATCTTAACGAGGTAACTGAATCAAGGCATGATGATAATGTTTAAAGTTCTAAATTTTAAGGACCTGCTTGGATTCTGAAAGCATGATATTCATCTACTAATGGGTATTGAAATTAGATTCTGTAGAAATAAACATCAGTTTACTATAGTATTCCCAATATCAAAAGTCCAATGAGAAGACTGGCTTAATTTTTAGATACAGGCTTAAAAAGTTTTGACAATTTTTCAAAACAAACTAAAATCTGCCATTCTGCATTGCAAAAGCATTCAATTATCATGAGAAGACATCTTACTATCATAAAAGATGTCTATCTGTAATATCATCTGTAATATTTAGTGGACATTAAAACTATCAATTACTTTCCTTGCTCTGATAGATGAATCTACTTTTATTCTTAAGTTGACAGTAGAAGTTTGTATTATAATGTTTTATCTCCCCTAAATAGTCTCCCTTGAGTCCTCCAAGCTACCCTTCCAGTTCAGATTCTAATACTATACCCCTTACAGGTCACTCAACTGTTAAGTAAATCCTTAGTGGATTAGTGGTTTTTAAATTATGCTTGGAGGCACTTTAAAGAGTTTTTGGAGGTGCCTCAGTGGTCCTAGTGGCCAAACACATGGGGTTTCAAGATTTCAATTTCTGAATCCTACTATTACCTCCTTATATTTATGTCATATATACATGAATGTCCCACAAAATTAATTTGAAAATGTAATTTTGTTGCTTTAAACTGTTTTTAAAACACAGTAAAGGGATTTGGGAGACTTGGGAGTCTTGGCAGAAAGAAGCAAGGAGTCCTCTTGTCCCATGTAAAGTCTTCAAATATTTGGTCACAGAACTGAATAAGATACTGTATCTTGGACCTACCACACCAATATTATCCCTCAGTCTGGCCTTGAGTTCAGAGGCACAAGTCAAAACAGATCAATGTTTTAGGTGGATCCTATCACAATGATTAATATCCCTTCAAGTCTATTTTTGCAGAAATAAGTGGCATATCAATTATTTACAATATAAGAAAACAAACAATTAGTAAATGCTTCCTAGATAGCAATCCTTAACAATGTATATGACCTTTGTTCTCACCTTTTATACCAAAGGAACAAGCACAGAATTTATATTACACTTGCAAATGAGTATACATTTTTATTTTTTCTTTCTAAATAAATTAGAGTCAGATATGAGCCTTGATTCAGGGTTTGAATAGAGTGGCAGACTTGCTAATTAAACTGCTCTCATGAATGGCCTTATTCCAAAAACATCATGTAGGAAAAGAAACACTGTCAATTAAAAATTGTAATGAATAAGAACTTAGGTCCCAAAGAAATAGTAACGATTTTGATGCACACATGACTCTTGAAAAGAGAATGCTGAGAGCTGGTGTTATTGTTCTCTATATAAACTTATTCATGTTCTTTTAATATAAAAGAAACTTCAAAGTTTGTCTTCTTTCTCAATATGAAAAAAAAATAAGCAGAGGTATTAGATGAAAAATATAAAAATGCTGGTGTGGTACAAATAAATGTAAAAAACGTTCCACGGTAGGAAATAAAAATATATATACTGTTGTTTTAAATTCTGAGGCCTTTCTTTTAAACATATTATCATTTGAATAAAGATGTTCCCCAAATTATAATATTATAAAGAGTTAAATTTTAACTGAAGGGAAAATTCTTTAAACAAATAGAAAACTTGTTTGCAAATATTTTCAGTGAATGAGCAGTGGTGAATTTGGCTCATATCTTGGTTTATGTCCAGAGAGAATATTATTTTCTTACTGAACATTATTTTCTTTCCATTGAATGAGAACAGAATTGTGGAGCTGTGCCATCTGTTGTTAAAATACACGTATGTGTACATACACACATATATGCACGATCATACATTTTGATGCATGAATCTATAGATATGTATATTACATACTTTTGGGCAAAGCACTGTATCTAAGACCTAATTGCTTTTGTATATGGAAAAGTAACAGATTAGGAAACATCCCTCCCCCAAACATTCGAATGTTCATACTGCTAATTATATAGCACATCAGAATGTGCAAACATTACACTTATTGCAAAGTATCTTATAGATTTAGACGCCATTATAAAATGCTTTCAGTTCTATTTTTGTACCCTAAGATGTCGGTATATAATACCAAATTTCCAATTAAAGAGCTTAATATAAAAATATCAGCACAAAACTGTTTTTTCAATCTGTTTATTGTGTGAGGAACCCAAACTTCAGTTTAAGTGCTGTTGTAATTTTATTACTAGATTCCATAACCCTACAATTGATAAATTTTATACCATTTTAGGTATTTAATGAGAAACTTAGAAATACTAAGAAAAAAATCAGTATTCAAAGGGTTAATTTTGTTTATAATAACAATAAATTATTTTATCATCTTCTTCAGTTCAAAATCCAGCTTTGAACCCGAGGAAGGCTTTCAAATCATGTTAATTAAATGGTGGTCCTTTAACCAGTAGCAGTTTGATTACCAATTACTCGAAGGATCTCTTTGTGAATGCCTCCTTCTTGTGTGTTAATATTTGTGTCTCCCACTTGGCCATCTTCGTAGCTAAAACACAAGACACAGAAACATAAAACATTCGAAAAGAAGAAACATTCAAAAACATCCCCAAAGCATTTAAGACGCTTAGAAATGCTGTCTGGTATCTAAAGTACAGCCCAAGGGAATCAAGAGCCAGAGACAGGTGCTTCTCAGTTGTGTTTAATAATGTGCTCACATTACTGAACACGTGATTATTCTACGTCATGCCCTGATTTGACCCTTCCTTTTTAATTTTAACTTTTTAACCTCACATAAAGCATTGCCTGAGATGCGGGAAGCACCCCAGTGTCTTTGGCTCTGCAAACCTTTTTCACAGCAGTTGTTATAAGAAGCCTGCTGAGAAAGAAGATACTGACTTCAGTTTTATGTTCCTTGGGTTCTGGATTTCTTAACTCCACTCCTACTTCAATCATTTATTTTCTGATCAGTGACACTCTCAGAAAAATCACTTCACTTTCCACCATTGCTCCTTTGCCATTCCTGCCTTCTAATTATTATTCTGTTGTAATCAGTGCTGCATTTTTTTTTTATCACTGGTTGCTCTATTTAGTCCGACTACAACAATATTCTTATTTATGCTGGTACTACATACAAGAATGCCAGTCTGCTAAGTTTAGCTAAGCAATAGAAGTGAAAATATAACTTTAAAGGACAGCAATTACTAAGTCCTTTAGAAAGAAGTAATTACATTTTAGATGATAATTCATTGCCTCAAATAAACTTACTTGGGCAATAAGAATTTCCCAAGAATGAATTTTTAAACTTCCATGATAATATTCAGAGTAGAATAGGTGATGAATTAATTTTACTTCATAAAAATGACTTCAAGACAGAAGCTTTAGAGAAGTGGTAATTACTTCAAAATAGATAACCAGGGGTGTAAGCATAGTGTCTCAAAGATTAATGTGTGCCACTGTCTTTTCCTCACCATGCTTAAATTCTCCTGAAATAGCACAGCAGAAAAATGAAATAGATGACACATAACAATGAGAACTTAGGTCCTTACATAATCAACTACTTAAAAACCTAGTGATGGTTGCATCTATATCGAGTTTAAACTCCTAAGAAGTGGCCCAAGTTTGCCTACTTGGTTAATTTTTACCGTGCAAATACACACACACATACGTATACATAAGGCACCCAATGGTGAGACATTATTGTAAAAAAAAGAATGGGATATGTGGTACAAAGCCCAGTTGTAATTATTTTCTCAGGAGTTCAAACAATAAGTGCTCTGTTACAAACTAGAGAATGTGTAAAGTGAAACGCTTTAGACCTAGATCTAATCGGGTGTTTTGTAACAAACTGCGTAAAGATATATTCTATTGGGCAAGTAAAATATGTTAGCCTGGTTTTTGTATAAATCCAGGCTACTCACTGGACCAAGGGTAAGCTAAGCCATCCATAATTCTGAGCCAAGGCTGGGGAAGCAACCTGGCTTGCAGGCTTGGTCCACAGGAGATAATGGTGTTTTATCAAACCAACTGGCCTAGCTCCTGTAGGATACAGATTATGGAAAACAAAAGAGACTGACGAGAAGAGAATGAACCAGACACAAAGGAAACCATAGTGCTTTGAGAGAAGCGGGAAGAGTGGCAGGTCTTAGAACTGCTTTGGTTCTTGATGGCTTCCCAACTTCTGATACCAGTCCACCATGTATCTCCATCCTAAGTTTCCTAATAGGTGTTTATGTAAGATATTTTCAGCTTAATAGATACCAGCCTACATATTACCATCTCTGTTCTTTTCAACTTAAAGTTGACCTTGATTAAGGTTTGCCTGTAATACATTAAAACTTCTCATTTTTTCCTCAACCCACTGCAATCATTCTTCAGATCCTACTACTCTACTGAAAAGTACTGACAATGGTTGCCCATGGCCTCCTAGCTGATAAATTCAGGAGACTGTATCTGCTATGTCTGCAGCATGTGATACAGCTGACTGCTCTTGTTCTTAAAGCTATATCATCTCTTCCCTCCCTAGTTGGCCCTTTGATTATTAATTCTCAGTCTCTTTCATTGCATTCTCTCCCCTGGCCTCCCATTTCAATGCTGGTTTTATCCACAATTCCCTCCTCAGTGTTCTCTCTTTTTATGATATGCAAACTCACTTTACTTTAGTCTGTCCCATTGTTGTAACTATCACCCACATGCTGATTCCTAAAACTGTATCTCCAGTCCTTACATCTTTCCCTAACTATAAATTTCCTACAGAAATCACAGAGGTGGTATATTCAAAGTTGAACTTAACTTCTTAATACAAAACTGACTGCTCTTTTCTACTCTGTCAATATCTCAGTGTGAACTACCATCATCTACCCACCCCAACAAGAAAACTTCAGTCATTCTTGGTTATTCCACGTGCCCAAATCCAATACATCATCAAGTTATGTTGCTTCCATTTCCCTAGTTATTCCCACTTGCATCTTCTCTCCATCTAATACCATCACCTTCGTTTAGGCATTCATTATCATTCATCTAAACGGGTGATTTTCAAGTGGCAGGTTGTGTACAGTTAGCAGGCTTTGAAATTAGGTTGTCCAGGCTAGCATTTTCCAATGAAATTAGAATAAAGTAGGACAGAGAGTACTGACTGCACCACACAAAGTAAGATTGTTCTTTCCCAAGTCACAATGTCAAATTCATTTTTTTCTGTAGTGAGAAAAGCTGACCTAGACTATTGTAATGACATTATAACTGATCTTTCTATCTCTACACTTATCCCCCCATCCCTCCTACAAGACAATTCTCTGCCCTGCTAGAGTGATGCAAATGGCCTTCGCTTCACTTGCAGAACAAGATCCAATGTCACTGGCATGGCACACCTGGGTCCTTCATAATCCAAACCTAAACTTCTTCTCTAGTCATGACCCATCACTCCTCCCTCACTCTATTTCCCAGTCAAACGGAAGGGTTTGCTGTATCCAAGTATTACACATTCATTGACACATAAAAAGCATTTGAAGTTAATGGAGAGGAGATGAGACTCACATTCTTTAAATAAACTATAATAATTTATAGAAAGAACACAGGAGGAGGAGAGAATAGAGAGCAAGAGTGAGAGAATGAGATTGAAAGTATTAAGAAAAATGCTGATTTTTCCATTGTCTATGAAGCCCATAAGGAAACACAACAGCTGCGGGCTGAAGGATAAAATCAGTCAAAGGCATTCAGGTGTCTTAAATTATGAAGCATATATAATAATAAAGGTAAAACCAACTACCATTTGAATTGGTCAACCAGCAGGGCTTAGATAAATGAATTACTAGTGGCATTAAGATATTTATTACAATATAGCATACAGATGATTTTGCAGCTATTTATTAGTATTGCAGACAAACACTAAGTTGTTAATATAACACTGAAGTTCACTTACGTCCAGGCAGCAACAAAATTAAAAAAAAGAAATACAGCAAGAATGATATCAATAGGGAAATGATACACTTGACTGGGGTTTTCTACAGAAGGAAAAATGAAACCATCTAAAAGAAGACAAAAATTACTTATGTTCCTAGGAGTATAAAAAGATAACTGAAATTTTAATAAATAATAAACCAATTTGCTTTAAAAGCTATGAGACAATAGATGGAATCTGGCTATCTGGAACTCTCTTGGGTATGTCAGGAAATTTCATGGACAAAAACTTAAATGTATTGACAACCTTTATTTTCAAACTGATTATAGCAGCTCTGTGACAGTTTTAAGATTGGTTCACATACATTTGTTTTCTTTTCTTTTTTTTTTTTTCTGCGGTACGCGGGCCTCTCACTGTTGTGGCCTCTCCCATTGCGGAGCACAGGCTCCGGACGCGCAGGCTCAGCGGCCATGGCTCATGCGCCTAGCTGCTCCGCGGCATGTGGGATCTTCCCGGACCGGGGCACGAACCCGTGTCCCCTGCATCGGCAGGAGGACTCTCAACCACAGCGCCACCAGGGAAGCCCTACACTTGTTTTCTGACTCCCTAAATCTGGAAGCCAGAAATGATAGCACTGTTTTTCATTAGTCACAGAGAGGAGAAATTCAATGTGAACTCAATGATATCCAGCACTTCTCCAAAGTTCTTGTAAGAAATCTGATGCTGTAGTGTACTGTCTGCTTCAGAGCCCGTGTATAAATCTGTCTATTAAGTTAGAACATTCAGTCTTTTGTCATTGCTTTCATTCAATATGTATTACGTGTTTCTGCACGAGATGTAAGATTCCCAAACACGGACAGAATTTGCATTTTACGAGGGGAGATAACAGAGTTATGCAAATAACTGGAGGACAAGGCAGCCCTGGGTGATACAAAGAAAGGGCAAGCAGAACTGACAGTAAAGACAGATCCTGTCTGAGTGGGACACCGGGAGAGGCCCCACGGAAAAGACCATGCAGTTAAGTCTAGAAAGATTGGCTAAAGGCTGAGCTGGTTAGAAAGCCAACCATTCCTACTGACCGAGCAAAGGCACATTAGCGGGGAAAAGAATTCCAAGTTTTTTTCAAGAAACAGCTTGGATGATAATTTTATTCAATCAGTGGTTTGTATGGGTAACTGAAGTCAAGTCAGATGGGCACTATATTGCAGAATGCCATGTTTTTATTTGTTAATAACTATCAGCCTGTATGAGCAAGGAATAATCAAACTCTCCTTCTGGAAAAATAATGTGGTATAAATTGTATGATCTTATTAACCATAGCTAACTCTAAGTGGGAATACGATGGGTGATTGTCTCTCTTTTTGCTTACCTCTGATTTCAGTTTCTGTACACTGAACAGGCATCACTGGTGTAAGGATGGCAATGTTTAAAAAATCTGGCATTTTAAAAAACAGATTAGGAGCAATGAAGAAAGCAGAAGCATGGAAAATAACTAGTAACCTTTTGGTGTACTCTAGGGGAGAGAACGATACACACTGAAACAAAGGTGTTTATAGAAGAAAACTGTGAAAAGATGTAATTGGGAACTGGTGACTAGTGAGCATGGAAAAAGGAATTGAAAACTACAGCAATAATGGGTTCCACTTTGTACATAATGATTTTAAGGTATTAGTGGACTTTGGGGGACAAAATATCCAGCAAGCAGTTCTAAAATGGGCACTTCATTCATTCCTACGTACCTGCCAAGCGCTGTGCTAGGTACGCAAACACAAATGAGCTGTATAGTCCCTGACCTCAAGAAGTACACAGAGTTAATGGAGAAGACGATACATAAAAAAGAACAATCCAGTAATAAACACAAGCCCAGGGTATTACACAGTAACAAAAGGGAGCAGCACAAAGGCATCAAGGTAAGTTTCTGGGAGGAGGGAAGACATACATTAAGATTTAAAAGAGGAGTGGGAATTAGATAAACAATATGAGGGAAGAAAATGGAAGAGAGAATCCAAGATTAATGGAGAAAGGAAAGAGCAAAAGCATGGAGTGTGGAAATCCCAGCATACAGTTCAGGTTGTGCAGCATAACATCCTGGGGTGAGAAACAGCGGGCAATGAAAAATGGTGGGCCATGCAGCTGGAGATTGGATCTCCTCCACCTTCAACGCAGTGGTATTGAAGGAAGAACAAAGCACCAAGGAATCAGTTGGTTCCCTTTGTAAAGGAGACTGGGCTTCATCTTATAAGTAGTAAGCAGCTATCAAAGACTTTTAAGCAGGGGAGTGATGTGGCAGTTTCAATCTTGGAAAGAGATCTGGGTTAGAGACAGAGAAATTGGATTCATTATAGACTTGGGATAAAGCAAAGCTCCCAGATCATATCAGCTTGATGTCACACAATTTATGTCACTGAGCCATGACTGAATGTCCTATCTTTTAACTTCATAAATAAGCTGTCTCCTTGCTATGTTCCCATTCAAACACTGTGTACCTTTTGCAAAATCATGATGCAAAGTATCTCTTATTTCATGTAACAGCCATGATACAATTATTTTATAAATTTTTCCTGTAGCTACCTTTTTAGATATATTTCAAACTTTGACCTAAAAGTAAAACAATACATATTCCAAAATATTTTCCTTTTGGCCTTCTTCTGTTCATTCATTAAAAAATTTGCTGACAAGCAGCTGTACATCAGGTACCGTGCAAGGTGATGCAGGGCACGCAGGACAGTAAAAACACAAGAGTAGGAGTCTGCCTTTTAGGAGTTCACAGTCTTGTGGAAGAGTCAGATACAATGAATAAACTGAATTTTAAATTGAAGTTCTGCACTGAGTTGTAGGAATACCAGGAAGAGAGATTAATTTTGATTAGGAGCTTCATAGAAGAGGTGTTATTTGAGCTAGACCTTAAAAGATAGAATAGACTTTAGATAGGAATTCCTGAAATTTATTTAGCACTGACATCTGCTTGACGCAAGAACTGAAAATACCCTGCATCACTTTTCTGCAGATAGTCTTGTTTTATTTGGTCCTTCTTGCTCCTAAATTTCTGAACTTCTTGAAATATTTTGAGAAATAGATACCTTAAATCGACGTAATAGAGAAACTATGGAAACGATTCATTTGCAGATCTGCCTGCTCTAAATCAGGGAACCACTAAAGCATCAAACATGTAGGTTGTAACACCAGATAATAAGCAAGATACAAAAACCTGGCGGTTCTTAACCTTTCCTTGGTCCCAGACAGTTGAGGGAGAAGACACACTCCTATCTCTACGAGTTTACACTATGGCAGTGGTGGGGGCAGTGTAACATGGGGTGCCCATGGCACTAGATACATCTAATCTGTTAACCTGCCAAATCATCAATTACCTTCTCTTGGATTTTATTATTTATTCCTATTTCTGGAAAACACCAATAATAAGTTTTCCTCTCTAGCTTTAAAATCCCCATTTCATAACATTTTTGTTGTATATGACTGGAGCACCATACGTCTCTGTGGTTTTCACACCCCCTGTGAAACTTCTGGCCCTTTTTAAAATAGCTGCCTTATTTCTACATATTGACCTTAATGTCTTTATACATGTGTCTCAAGGTCAGTAACAAAATCAAGCTCTAGCAACAATTCCTAGACCCTCAGAACCGTCTGGAGTCTGTTCTTAACATCTGAATTATTACCTTTTGCCTGAAGCACTTATCTTTGATTAAGTTTATTCATTTTTGGAGTCTTCCAACAAATTTTTTTCAAACTTCTTACTCTCTTATTTTTTCCTAACAGATATCTTCCTTTAAATTTTACTTTTAATTTTTTCTGATACCCTGTTCTAAAGTTTCCCCCATTTTTCTCTCATTCTCTGTTATTGTTTACTTATTGGGAAGAATGTGATTAGGATATTAGATGACTGTTTTATTTAATTTTATATATTTTATTGTCTCCACTCTGGAAGTCAGATTAGCATAGAATTTATATAATTTTTAATATTTTCAGTTAGTAACAGATAAAAAGGAGGCCTCACCAATTTATATCCTAGTCATCAGGCAAAGCATCTAATTTTAGAGATCACATAATGTGTTAAAAAAAGAAAGGATGAAATAAGAATAGAAATTGAGTTTCTGTCTGATTATGGTATATTTGATAACTCACTTCTTTCTCCTCAATTTATTCTTTTCCTAGATAGTGCCATTCACCAGGCAGGCACATCACTAGCAGAACTCTGTGATTATATCTTTTATAAAGAAGGAAAACTGATGGTTGTAATTAGAATGTACATTAGTGAATGGATTCTCCTTTTCATGTGTTTTGAATCTCATCAATTTTCCTTAATTAGTTCCTTCTCTCCTGAGGGAGCAGGAAAAAAGAATGAAGTCTCATTTGTGTTTATAAAAGAATGAAAATCATTACCTTAATAGAATTTTTTCCTTTGCATTATTTGGAAAGTATCTGAGTGTACTGAAGGCTTTTTCTTCTCTTTTCTTCAGATGGTCTTTCCTTGCTTTTTTCTTATGAAACATAGAAATCCTTCTCTCCAGTTAACATACACACACCCACACATATACCTCCACTGATTTAGTTTACATATAATTTATGTAAAACTGCCAAGAGGTAACACGAGAAATGTTTACTGCCTACTTCCATGTCTAATGTTATTTAGCTCAACAACTATGAATTTTAGCAAGATGCTAAAAGGAGCAGATTAACTGATTAACGACAAGCTAAGGAAAGGCCTCTGGAGTTACTTTTCCATGAAAATCTCCAGCTCACACAATGAAATAACTTTGTGATTGGAGGTGTCTTTTGGAAGGCCGACCTTCTAACAATGGATAAGAGTCAAGATGAGCAAGAAAGAAGAAGGGAAAAAATATTCAATGAGTGCCTTTCAGTGGAGACCTGCACTGTGCTATACCTTAATCTGAATCATAACCTTAAAAAGCAGACAGCTATCCTGGGAGCCTCCAGAGCCATGGCTGTACACTTCTCTACCTTGCCTTCTGCCCCAGGAGGGTGACTTCTATGGACTTGGTCAATATGCTCCCTTGCCCTCTAGTTTCTGGTAGAGTTTGGCCAATGCGGAGGGCGAGGTCAAGGTTTTGCTTGGTTCCAGCCCCACAAGGTCACCTTGGGCTGCCTAGTCCCTGAACTGAAGGCCATGACTCCTGTCAAAGCTGATGAACTAGAAATGGCTCTCCTACCAGGTTCTGATAACTGCTTCCTATTCTTATCTTTTTGGACCTGAGGATGTATAATAGCTCTGGTGCTACTAGCTCCAGGTTACTGTCCTAGACCTATGATTTCCCTATAATCACACTTTTGTAAGTGATCTAACTGTGAATGATAGAAATTATCTCGTTCCTTAAGGGCCAGTGGTTTCCTGTTGGGATTCTAACTGATACCGGTATATTGTTCTACTGTAATCTATTGATGATGTTATATTGCGTCTACTGAGGAAGCTTAGAGAGGTTATGCAGCTTGGCCAATGTCACCTCACTAATAGCTGGTGAGCCTAGACACAAACTGTCTGATCAAAAGCAGCAGGGTTCTTTTTACTATACTCATTGCCATCTTGCCACTAAGAATGAAATCTATAGGTATGTATATGTCTCATACTATGTAATCTATATATTAATATGTAACATAAACACAAAAGATAGATAAATACATAATATATAAATCTGGATCATAAGAAAATCACACTTTTCAGACCAACCAAAAGAAAACCAGGCAGTTCATAAAATTTTCATTGTGAACTGTCAGTCAATAAGCTAACAGATCAAATGCTGCAGATGTAGCCTGCTCCAGCTATGCTATGTATTGAAGTAATCATGATACAGTCATTTTGACATGGCTTATAAAACAAGTCAGTGCATTTTTCCAGCTTCTTTTTAGAAAGTTACATAAACGTACAAAATAGATATACTCAACTCTTCCTTGAGGTCCTTTCTGTGACAGGACCGTGGATGAGGAAGGCTCAGGCATGGGAAAAAGTTGAGAGTTAAGCAAGGTGGGTAAAAATCAGACAGATCTACTACACTCATTTACTTAGGGAAGAAAAATACCACTCTTGTATTTTGATGCAGCTCTTATGCTATAGCTGTGTCAAAAAACCCACATTAACATGCCCGGCATTGCCAGCCTATATCATATGGAATGCAGATCAACTTTTTATAGGAAGAAGACTTTCTCATTGTTTTCCTCATTCCCAGGTCTAATATTTTTTTAAATCTATAGATAATATATGTGTATATTTATGTGTGTGTATATATCTATCTAGATACATATAAGATCTGTACGTATGTATATATACACTTATATACACAGGTATACATACATACACACAGATAGTGGTTAAAGAGACCATGTTTTTCTTCAATTCTTCTAAGTCAATAGCATTTAAACACCCCCGTTTTTCACAGCTTAGTAAAATAAAACAAAAACATTGAGTTGATGAGAAAATACGTGTCTGCTATATTTTGGCAGCTAAAGTGACCTAAGAATAATGTAGTCACTACTACCTCACTTATGGAGAAGACAGTAACATAGGATTTTAAGTTTTTACACTTACACAAAAAAGAACCGTGTGCAGACATGATCAGTATTTGGGACGACCCATATCTCTCCATGTTTGTGCAGGTCAGGTGAGGTGATCACTGTAAATGGAAGAGAAAATTAAAGAACTATTTATTCTAAGTTACTGTATCCCTTCTCTTAGAAATCTAAAAGCAAAAATGCATGCACAAATTAACATATGGAAAATGTTTCTTTCACCTTATGAAGCTATCAAGAAATGTAAATAAAAACAGTGACATGCCAAGTAACAATTTTATGTCTGGAACACGATTAGCATAACAATAGGAAGGAAATCACTTTTGTGTTATGGTGGCAAATAGGTCCTGACTTGGGAACTATGTAGAAAGCAACTTAGCGTCCTCTATAACCATCAAACGTTGAAAAACTTGAAAGACAGTAAACAGTGGCTACCGAAACTCCCAACACAAGAAGAAAAAAAAATGAACTTTTAGCCAAAGTCAGATTTTAAAGCAAGAACAAAGGAAAGTATATGATCTTGCAAATCGCCTGTCAATTTTCTGTCCTAAGTTCAGAATCGAAGAATAATTTCAGTGTAGGAATGAGAAAGGCCTACTGGGTTATCTACTCAGCACTTGGTTCATCTTTCAGATTTTTTATGGTATTATACATTCAGAAACCAACATAAAGAGGAAGGGGTATATTAACAAAAGAGAAAAGCAATACTTGATCAGAAAGAGATAATTACCATTCTGAAATATCTCCCAAGAATAAAATATAGCACTAGTTGAATTCTTGCCAATTCTGCTTTTTGGTTTTAACCTTTATGATCTCTGTTGTAAGTATTTTCCATTTGTGCCCTTAGAGATGGTCATAAGGAATAAAGCTTTCACTAGTCCATTGTGAGCATTCTGTAAACACACTTAAACTTTTAAATACAGATAAGAGAGAGAATTAACGCTATGAGAATTGTAAAACTTTCAACTTACCTTCACATAAGGCTATGCATTTTAAGTTACGGCTTTGCAGGAACTGGGATTGCTGTCCTTTTTTCTGTGACTAAAGTCCAAAAGAATTTAAAAATTAGAGTAAAAATGGGACAGTCATTCAAGTGAAAAAAAAGAATCATCATTAAAAAGTAATAGTCACTAAGATAGTTCCAGAGGTTTAAAAAAGGTCTATCTCGACCAGCAGCAAAATCCTTGAATTCTCTCTTAATGTCAATCTATATTTGTTATATCACTTAATTTCTGTACATAATCATAATTAAATTACTCTCAAAAATAAGCAAATTAAAAAATACTAAATTAAAGTTCAATAGCCTCACAACATAGAATTAGAACTCAAATTTATTTTTACCAGAAGCCTAGCATCTCTATTTAGAGGGAAACAAAATTAAAGTTGCATAATCTTTTCAAACATTAAAATGAATTATTCTAGATCATCTAACTACCCAAAACAAACCCATATTTATAGCATCATTAAGCCACAGAGGTTTCAGAAACATTTCATGTAGAAAATCTGGGGGTTTGTTTTTGTTTTCAGACACTAGACGAGCTATACTCTTTTAAAAATAATCTAAAGTCACATTATTCATCAGATGGATTTTAATTTGTCCAGAATGCTTGTTTTCTCTGAAACAACAAGGGATCTGTGTTTGCCCTTCTCTGTGCCTGGAGTGTTCTTTCTCCCAGAGAGCCATATGGCTCGTGCACCCACCACCTATAGGTCTTTACTCAAATAGAACCTTCTCAGAGCATGCTTTCCTGATCACCCCATTTAAAATTCATTCGAGTTCCATCTTGCATCCCACAGCATTCAACATCCCTTTCCCCTGATTGTTCTCTGTAAGATTTACCACCATCTAGCATTCTTTCTGTCTAAATATATATTTAGTTTATTTATATCCACTCAGGAGAACACAGGCACCAAGAGGATTTGTCTATCGCTGATGATCACTGTAGCCCAGTATCTTGGAGATGTCCAGCACTCTTGTAGAAGCTCAATACATACTTATTGAATATTTATCGAATAAAGGCATTTTAGGGTGAGTTTCATTCCTGCAGGAGTAACGACCACTTAAAATAATTCTGCAGATTTAAAAAGCCTGAGTATTTATCGAAGTCCTGCCAGCTAAGGGAGCTAGAGTTCACTCATCAGAGGCAGTCACCCGATTAGCTACACCACCTGTGATGCGTTGCTGTTTTTACTGCTTGAAGCTGGCTCATCCTTGGCTGACACCTTCTGCTTCTTGTTCATCCCTAAAAACATCAGCAAAATAATAATTTAGGGACAAAGCCGTATGATGCAGCTCAAAATACAATCCATCTACACTGCAAAGTTCCACTTTAGGCAAAGGTTTGACAGCATCAGGCCACAGACCATCACAAAGGGCTCCTGAAGGAGCAGCTGCTGTGCCCTGAGCAAGCAGGGTGGAAAGTTGGTGGGTTCTGGAAATCCTGGTCAAGTTACAAAGTAGAAAATACACTTTGTTTTTCTTTGCATTGAAAAGAAGGCTAGGACCTTCCCTTGCATAAAATTGATATAATCAGAAAATTCTTCAAACTTGATTTTAAAAGGCATTTAGGACCTAAATTTTATTCCTACCATCTAGTGACTAGAAGAAGATAAGGGGTGGAAAATATAAACAATTTCAGAAAAATATATTTATACTGCAACTTAACTTCATGCTCAATTCCTGTAGAATCTACTATTCCTCCTAATAAAGGAAAACTATTTAAGTCCTTTTGTCTATGATACTCACAAGTCTTACCTTAACCTGTTAATGCCATGGCTTTTTATTGTGAAATATTTCAGACAAAACAGAATTAAAATTCCTGTCTGTTTTAGAATAGGTAGATTTGTAGCTATAGTGTGTTTAAAAATGCTCATCTACTATCCTGAAGTTGAGAAAAGCCTATTTGTTTGCTGCTGCTTCAATAAAAGGCTTAATGAAAATGGGGCAAAGCCTATGGACCAAACTGCAAATGGTGTGGATGCAGGCACTTCCCAAGGCAGACATTCCCGCAAAGAGGCAGAAGTGGGTGTGGTCAAGCTGAGGAACAGGCGAAGCTATTAGTGCAGAAAGACGGTTCTGCTCTCTAACTCCTAGACCTGAAGCCCTCCAAACCAAGTATGAAGCTACTTCAACGTACTGTAGAGGTTCTTCCTTTCCTTTTTCAGATCAAGGACACTGAAAGAATTGGATGAAAGCTATCTACCCTCTTTCCAGACAAACATTCACACAGACCAATTTCACATTCATCTGAATCCCTCAAAAACCTTTCCATGAACCCATCTAAGGAGTCACTACACCCGTATAAGAAGCAGAAAATCACAGGACTCGATGATGTGTTGTGTTGTCCTTATCTATGCTGAGATTGTATTTATTTATTAAAAATGGTTTGATATTACTTTTTTACTGTGTTCTGTTTTAAAAAGATTTAGAGTCTGATTTAAGCTGATTCTGATCATCTTTCCCACTGAACTACATGATGTTATTTCCTATACTATCTTACTCTTCTGATATTTATTTTCCTAGTTTTATTTTGGCATATTGTGTTTTCAAAGATCACTGCAACAATAGCTCTCAACAGTAAGTTTTTCTACAATGCGACTGTGCCACTCTTTCATCAGGAGATGGAGTCTAATTCCCCAGCCCCTGGATGTGGACGGGCTTGTGACTGCTTTGACCAATACTGTACATGGGAAGTGGCGCCACGTTGAGTTTTGAGGCTGGGTCAGAAGAGGCATACAGAGCCCACCTGGTCCTCTTAGGACATGTGCTCTGGGAAAGGTCGAGGTGGAACACTGAGAAACCACTTGCTGTGGCTGAAAGAGTGTGAACTTGGGCAAAAGAATCAGACAGGTAAGCCTGCTCAATGTTCTCCTAGTTATTATATCTCTCTAAGTCTCCTGTTCTATAATATATGGATCTTAAGACTTACCATCCAGGCACCATGTGAACAACATCTCCTGAAGCTGTTTAATGGAATCATGTAACCCCACACAACACAAGCACATAAGCAAGACCAACTATCTATGCAGGTATACGAATATAAAAGCCTTTAAGTCTAAAGGGGAACTCACCAAACCCTGGGGTTGTTAGGAGGAAAATGTTTCATTTGTTATTTTATACAATTCTGTGTAGTTTCGATTTCTTTACAATGGGCATAATTATTTTATATTTAAACAGAATAAGTTTCTGTTCTGAGAAAAAAAAAAATCACACAGATCATTGTGAAATATTCCAAAAATTTTTAAAGTACAAAGAAAAAATCACCCTGAATTTTACTACCTCAGGATTACGAACGCTAACAATTTGGTAATCGTTCTTTCCATATTTTGAATTTATGAGGCTCCTCCTCGGCACATGGTTTCAGTTTATTCCAATACATTTTTCTCAAACAATCTCACTAAAATATTAACAAGAAGTTGTCAATAAGTAGGATGGTTCTGAGGGTGTTTTTCTAATCCTAAGTTCTCCATACTGCTTAAAACGTCTTTAATATAATGTGTAAACATTTTTCAGTGCTCTACATAATATTTTGTACATGCTATATTTTCAATGTTCACTGTAGACGGAATAAATGTAGAAACTATTGAAACAAAATTAAAATTAATTTTGAAACTGACAAAACATATGCTCCATCTTATATGCTAGGGGAAGTATTATAAATTCATCTTGACACGTGAGCTTTGTTTTTACTTCTGACATTTATCAAATGAATTTAATACAAATACATCAAATAGGCTTCATTCACTCGATAAAAAATTGTGCCTAGAATATACAACAACAAAAACAATATATTTGAGGTTGAAATGAAATACAAGCTTACCTGAGTAACCAAATGATATGCTTGACATTGGACTAAGATAGATTCCACTTCCATACATTGCACCGTGGAGCTAGAATGAGAGGAGGTGGGAAAGGAAACAGTCAGTTTATGGTTTCAAATGTTAATATTTCACAAAAGAAGACCATTGGTCTTATGCTGGAACATTAGCTCTTAATAAAATGATAAAGCTCTGATTTCAAGGTCTAATTTGAAAAGAGTACTAATATTCTTGTTCTTAAAATTCAGAGTGCATTGATATATGGAAAATGACAGCCAGAAAAAATCCTTAGTAAAGAGTTTCCACCCAGCTGATGACAAAGAGTCACTTAGTATCAAGTACTGGAGTAGGCTTTTTGTTTTTTTAATTAATTTATTTATTTTTGGCTGCATTGGGTCTTCGTTGCTGTGCGCGGCTTTCTCTAGTTGTGGCGAGCAGGGGCTACTCCTCGTTGCAGTGCGCGGGCTTCTCATTGCGGTGGCTTCTCTTGTTGCGGAGCATGGGCGCTAGGCATGCGGGCTCAGTAGTTGTGGCGCATGGGCTCTAGAGTGCGGGCTCAGTAGTTGTGGCTCACAGGCTTGGTTGCTCTGCAGCATGTGGGATCTTTCCTGGACCAGTGATGGAACCTGTCTCCTGCATTGGCAGGCGTTTTCTTAACCACTGTGCCACCAGGGAAGCCCTGGAGTAGGCTTTTATGTTAATGACTCTAAAATACTGAAAGTAAACGTGGCTGAAACACATGTGACAGAAAGTTGATCAGGACTCATCTGCTAGTATATCAACAAAATATCTTAGATTTTCATTATACGGCACTGTCATCCCATTCCTTACTTCCTCTAAATTTTTCAAGTTACGGAGAGTTTCATTAACTGAAACTCTTCGACCAGTCTACTACTCAGAACAATTAAAATTGTCTCTTATTATCTCCATGCTCTAGGGCCCTCATACCGTATTTAGTATGCACCAAATATTAATTCAATAAATACGTATTTATGGACATTTATATTTATGAACATTTATATTTATATTAAATGTGTATTTATGAACATTTATATTTAGTTGTGTCATCCCAATTGTCATCAGAATATGAGATCTCGCACAGGTGACCGGGTTGAGGATTTCATCTCCTGACCTCCTTACATCATCAGATGAAAATCAGCTGAATGAGAGTGAGGTGGGATGCTGGAGATGAAGGGCGTAAATAAAGATGAAGACCACACCCACAGTATCCTGCCCATGTGGTGCCCTGCGGGCTGAAAAGCAGGTAGCCGATGGCTCTTTGGTGTCCAATCTCCATTTTGCTTATTCTTAGCCCTACCTTTTCTTCTGTTAAAGTATTCACACTGAGGTTGTGCTCAAAAAACTTGAGTTGGAGTAGCAGAGAGAATTTGTGTAAGGTTTTACCTCTTTGTGCTAATTTTTTTCTATTAAGTTTAAAGTGGTTTCACTATTTTCTCATAGGGGAACTCAGTTTTCTTTTTCTTTTCATCCCTATGTTGTGTATAGATCAATTCTGCTTGACTTATTTTGTAAAAAATACGTATGCCTATTAGAAAAATCCACGTAATTTTTTAAAGCATACACGCATCCCCTTTTGCAAGTGAAAACACCACCAGGACGGACTGCTTACTGAACCCCAATACTGAAGAATAACGAGTCTCGTTAAAGCATGCAGAAAATTTACCTGCAGTCGTGTATTAGAAGCAACAACCAGACCATTTCTCAGGATGGAGTGCCAGTTTTCAATGTGCGAGCCACTAAAACACAGGGGAGGGGAAGGAAAAAGCAAAATCAAAAATCAATGACCTTTTTTTGGGGGTCTCAATATAACAAGTCATGGTGCCTTCTCAGAGTTCTGGGTTTCCTAATCAAGTATCGTGTAGTGAACTGTCCAGTGCTAACAGCCAACTACTAAAAGAAGATGACTTCCTCCCTACACATTTCTGGAAGACTAAGTGGGTGACACACACCCCTAAACATTAAGCCATACTCACTGAAATGCAAAGGTGCTTCCGAAGAGTTTTTTAGCAGCTCTAAAATTGGATTCTTTGGCTGGTGGACTGCTGAGAAGAAGGAATTGATGGGGAGTGTGCATGAACTTCAGTTGCTGCCATTTAAAATAAGGATGCAGGAAAACATGTCAAATTTAACATACAATCAGGCTGATGACAATTTCAAACTATACTGGTTTAAGAATTATCTAGTTTCAAACCATAATAATTTAGATTAATAGGGCATTCATTTGACAAAAACCCTGCATAAATGATAAATCGCATGGAATTGCTGATTTGAAGGATAATTCTTTAGGCTAATGGAAAAGGAACAGGAGACAGACAATCCAAAGTCATTTATATTTAGCTTTGGAATATGCTATGTAATCACATTCAAGCAGATCTGCCTTCCTAATTACATTTCTTTTTGAGACTTTTATTATTGAATTCCCTAAGTATCCACCAGCTATTCAACTGGGGAAATATCTGAATTTGCTAAGCAGAAAAGTTAGTTCAAGATTTTAAAACTGCAAAAATTATCATCATCATGCTTTATTTACATATATTTGTAAAATTAGAAATTGCCTACATTCAAATTATAGTTTCCCACTTTGCTCATGGAAAAAATTGAAACAAAGTCTTTTGAATCAGTCACTTAACAAAATTTTCTAACTGCTGCCCTTTCACCTAAGAATATATGTACTTATACAGGAATCCAATATATAGGAATCTCATAGTTTAGAGATTCATAGATGGGTGAGCTGAGATTTTAGATACTGCTCCTAGGTGACGATCAGAACTGAAATCAGAGTCCATTAGCTTTTTCTTTATTTTGTAAGCATATTAGGCCGATAAGTAAGCTATCTGGAGGCAATATCTTCTCCAATATAGAAAAGTAAAGCTGTGCTAACATTAAACTGACAATGATAAAAAAGCACATCACCTTCTTCTGGTCAATCTCTAGATAATGTCCTCTCTATCACACGTGGAATAACTAAATGATTTCACATTGACTCATTTACTTAAAAGTTCAGGGCAGCAGCCTGAAATTGAATTTGATATCTTGGAGAAACTTAGAGCTGGGGCGCATGTGGTCATTTCTAACTGAAGAAATAGGCTTGGCCTGAGTTAACTTCAATTTCCTGGAGAGGCTGCCTAAAAATCACAGGGGTCAGTTCTCCCAACTAGTAAGTAGCCCTCGCATTTCTGTATGTATATGTGAAAAAACAACTTACCCTGTTAACTGGCAGTTTCACAATATGTGACCTATTACTTGAAATAACCCTGAAATTAATTAAAATAAGGCATCAGTCACAAATATATGCCACATATATTTAAAGTGTTTTTCCCCTCAGTTGGCAAGTGATTAAAACTTATTTTTGCTGTGACATAAACTAAATTGAGTAACAATTTTACTTAATTACATCATTTTGCTTTGCTTCCTGAAACAATTTAAAGAGCTGATATAATAAACAAGATACTTAAACCTGCAAACACAGACGTAGCTCTTTAAAACTTAAGAGATATGATTTTTAATAACCACAACCTTAGATGTCAGCAAAGTGAACATGAATATGCTTTCAAATAATGGTAATCTAAATACAAAATTTAGAAGTTGATTCATACATCTGCTTCTCCCTACACTGTCTAACTAAGAATGAGTTTTTATGAAGATATTTTTCCTTTCTTTAAATATTTGAGGATATTTGTGCTGATACAATGGTTTATATACAAACTGTTGTTCACCATATGTAGACAATGAAGTTGAAAAAAAATCAAAACCTCAGGTATCTGAAAGGACTAATTGTTTTATGCTTTGCAGTATAGAAAATAATAACTAAAAAAATTGTAAAACATGTTGGTAAATTTTCTCCTCCTTGAAGGAAGAGTGACTAACAAGCTGAAGGAAATGATCACAAATAATTAAAAGTGAACAATCAGGCTAACATCAGGGAAAAAAAGAAAGAGATTAGATATTTGAAATTTTTACCTTCATTTTGAATATGACTTAATATGAGAATTTTAAAAGTTAAAATAAAAACTATGTGTTATGGTACTCAATTCGTCAGAATTTTAAAGATAGATTATAAAAGATACAAAGAAGAAAGACTTCTAAAACCTAACTCTTGTCATGGTTTTACTAGACTATATTAAATGTGTTTTGTAAGGTTCTGCCTAAGTGAAAGTTAAGTATTTAAGAGTTGTGAGGTGGCCTCTTCCTCCTTTGCCCATCTTTACATATTTTTTAAAAAACTTCCTGGCTGTAGCATGGAACAAGTACTCATTCAGACCAATTTCTTATAATCTTTACATTTGTATTACTGCCTGATAATCATGGTAAATTCCATAGAGTTGTCAGTGATTTCAAAGAGACGCACCTAAAACCCCCATAGGTACGGTGAGTAGGTGAGTAGATACTACTATTTTCTTTTTGCAGATGAGAAACCAGAGGGCAAATTATTTGAAGTAAGTGTTGTAGAGCAAGGGGAGCTCTCAACCCACCCCTCAACTATAGCCTAACCCCTCTTTTCTAGGGTTAGCCTGGACTAATGCTGTGTGCCTTACCCGACTTTCTCTGAAACAGTGCCTCATCTGCAGTCATCAAACACAGAGTTTATCAAATTTACACTATCTTTGTTAAGGGAGTAAATTATGCAAAACACACATTATAGAGAGATTTTCAGTAAGTGTTTGAAACAGTTTTATCACACAGAAAATTAGATGAAAATTAGCTTTATCACACTAGAAAATTAAATGAGCCAAAATGGCTTCACCATGTAATCTAACCAATCAAAATTTTTAAAATGATAGATAACAAACTGCTGTCGACTGCATCGTATATCCCTGCAGTGCATATGACAGCACTTTCTTCCCCTTGTGATGTCCAAATTTTAATTAAAGTGAGAGTCCTTAAGGACTCTTGGACTGTAAAATCCCCAGGCCTCATAGGCTTGTAGAACTGGAGCATTGCAGGTCTTGCAACATAGGCTTTTTTTTTTTTTTTTCCTTAAAGCAGGCAGTAGGAAGTGATGCTGTTTTCATTAAGAGGAAAACTAAATTTTATACCATTGCAGTAAGGGATGAGCAAGGGGGTCTTGTTTATCCATCTGCTTCTTGATTTCCAGATACGGTGCCTGAAAAAAAAGTCATTATACGTTTTGATTTTTCTTAAAAATTCCTTTTTTTCTTTTTCTTTTTTTGCAAAAGGAAAATCAGATTGAACAGGTATGCCTTATCCAGTTAAACGTGAAGCCCTGTGGTTGTGACATGATAATGGCAGCCATTACCCTAGTTGCTTCTCCCCAAGATGATATGAACTCTGACCTTCCATGCAGGACAAAGGACTTGCCGGAACGTTTTGATAAGAGGCTCAATGGAATTTTAGCCTGGCTTCCATGCACTAGGCTGGAAGTCCCTGGACCACTGCTGAGTCTTTGCTCAAGAAAACCCAATGTTGCTAAAACACAAAAGGTACCAACCCATACAGTTAACCTTTCAGTAATTCTCTTATCCCCCCTGAAATTTCCATTTCCCCAGAGCCCCCCCCCATTTTCACTTCTCTGTAGCCCCTTTTTGTTCCCTCTCTGTTTTCACTTTAAGAATCTCGGTCACCTTGCCTTACTCGGAGGTGATCTCGGCTCACACTGCAAGTTTCTCTCCCCTACTGCAGTATTTGAATAAATCTGTCTTGTCACCTTTATCAAGTGTCTGGTTTCTCTTTGACATTTTTAACATTTAACTAACATTAAAGCGAAACTTGCAATAGCTACTACTCATGCTCATATCTGAGGGTACTGACTTCGGGTAGATCTTTACATGAGAAAACTGGACAAAATTTACATAAGACGATGACCCCTTCTTTTAAAAGTATTCACCCAGACAATTAACAATTAACAAATATTTAAAAGGAATTCACCCAGACAATTAACGTTTTCCTAGAAAGAAAGGCAATCTGTCTGTGACAATTTAGGCCAGTATAATGTTGTATTTATTTGGAGAAGTTTAAAGAATTTGACAGGATAAAACCTGACAGCATCCCTATGAAGTGTACACTGAGGGAGAAGCCAACATTACTATTTACCATCTTGGCAATGAAGAAACTGAGGCATCAAGCAATTAAGCAACTTGCTCAAGGTTGCAGGCCATGTCACTGATGAGCAAATTATACCACATGGGCCTCCAACTTCCCAAGCCGACACGCAATCATCTCCATTGCCTCCTATTAAAATAGCTTACACATGACCCAGAATAAAGGAAGCAATTCTTGGCACAGAGCTGATCCCAGAGTCAGGGTTTGTAGCTATTTTTAGATGCAAGAATGCTCTGGATCTACGGTATAGTATAAATATCCTATACCAAAGTCTTTGGTGACCAAAAATGTTTAATTGTATGTAAGGTACTGCAATAGGTTCTTTTTTCCCCCTAAGTGGAAATGCATTTATTGTTTTCTTTTCTTTATACAAATAATAAATGTTTGCTTGAAAAGGAATTCTGATAATGTAGAAAGGGCACAGAAAAACAGGTGGAAAGAATGACGGCTTTTAAGCAAATAATATTTGCTTAAATCAAATAACTTGTGAATTAAAGGATCTCTTGTTTACCACTGCCTGACACATACAATTTGTTGAATGGATGAATGAGTATTTGACTTTATAAATAAATAACTATCAAAAGAACCAAGAATCAAATTTGGGAATGTGAAAATGTACTTTGGGCTTCCCTGGTGGTGCAGTGGTTAAGAATCTGCCTGCCAATGCAGGAAACATGGGTTCGAGCCCTGGTCCGGGAAGACCCCACATGCCGTGGAGCAACTAAGCCCGTGTGCCACAACTACTGAGCCTGCGCTCTAGAGCCCGTGAGCCACAACTACTGAGCCTGCGAGTCACAACTACTGAAGCCTGTGCACCTAGAGCCCGTGCTCCACAACAAGAGAAGCCACCACAATGAGAAGCTTGTGCACGGCAACCAAGAGTAGCCCCTGCTCACCACAACTAGAGAAAAGCCCGCACACAGTGATGAAGACCCAATGCAGCCAAAAAATAAATAAATAAAATAAATAAATTTTAAGAAAGAATAAATCTTTTTAAAAAATGTACTTTGGATGCACATCTGCAAATGGAGTAGATGGGGTAGTGGGGTGGGGGAGTGGCACAGAAGCTTTGTGGGCCCCAAGACTGGAGAAATCACTGTTCCCTCCCTCCCCAGAGAAAGGCAATGACTCAGAGTAATACTTACCATAAACTTGCAAAGGCCTCTAGAGGCAGTGCAAGCCTTGAAACCACCATATGCAAACTCAACCCATAATGTGTGGTATTGTCAATTAGATTGTTAATTTCTACTTATAATGATGAGCTTCAAACCTTTCTCCAAGTGTTTGGCAGTAGAAAGGCCTCAATAATTCAATAAGATGTGCTTTTCCAAGTGCTGGACTCCTGCCCAGGGATATATTGGACTTTCATAATAAACCCTGATCCTTGCTCATCAAACTCTTCCACCAAAACCTCCCTAATGGTCAAAAATATAAACTCATGCTCTCAAGGAGTCTGGTGTCTTTTGAGATTCTGTGTTACATCTAAACTATTTACATGTAATTTACATTTGACAGAATATTAGTTTTGATTTTAACATTAAAATGTTTTGAAAGTACTACCATTAATTAAAATTGGCAGTCGAGGAAGATGGTACCAGATTTAACTTTTACCTTAAGATATTCCAACAAATTCTTGTCTGAGTTTGAGAGCCGAGCATTCAGATTATGATTATGCAATTACCCTCCAAAGTCACAGTGGTAGCATGCCAAAACATTGATGTAATTTAATTAAAACATCCTAGTACAAAACAATTTTCATTTTTTAATTATACTCTCATATAATAGAAAAGTCTACATTTCACCACATGGCCAGTACTCTCAGATATTTTGAAAATATAATTTCACTCAAGCAAAACTGAACTGTACAAGACCACAAGATGATAAACTTACTTGTGTCATTTCTCTAATAGAAGTTATGCTGTCCAATGCTTTCATTACTCGATCATAGTTCTTCTTCTGTTTGAATGGGGGAAAAAATAGTATTCACCATAAGCCTTTGCAAGTCTGCACGTTACTTGAGAGACATATTATTTCTGTACCTGAATTTTCCATCAGGGTCAATTTGAAAGCAATGACTGTGTTGTGTACACAAAAGGGAAGACTTTGGGCTTCCCTGGTGGCACAGTGGTTGAGAGTCCGCCTGCCGATGCAGGGGACAGGGTTCGTGCCCCGGTCCGGGAAGATCCCACATGCCGCGGAGCGGCTGGGGCCGTGAGCCATGGCCGCTGAGCCTGTGCGTCCGGAGCCTGTGCTCCGCAACGGGAGAGGCCACAGCAGTGAGAGGCCCACGTACCACAAAAAAAAAAAAAAAAAAAAAAAGGGAAGACTTTAATAAGATGGCTCAAGGACATAGGATTTATAACTGAGTCAGAGGGAAGAAAAAAGAAAATAATGTCAGTTTTAGTGTAAATACATAAAATGATGTTCAGCTTACAGGGGAAAAGCTATAAATACACAAAAGATATCAGGCTCCTGATTCTTGTTGTCACCACTAAAAAATTAAGCCATGATGAATAAAGTAAGCACAGAATCCTTCTAAAACACAAAAATCCACTTTAAATCTTACAGTTTCATTTTGCTTTTAGTTCCTTTTGATTGGAAGATTGTTACCAAACAAGTATGATTAATAAGTGTGTAAATGACACCATATACTCAACTGATAATTCATTTTAAAGCACACTGAAAATATGTGCACTGTTGCCACTTATGAAGGAGGGAAAGTGTTTCCAAGAGAATTTTATATAGTCCTTGTTTCCATAAAATGATTTCAAGAGGAATAGTAATAGAAACTAAGGCAATTTGGGCTCTCATGTAATTTGAAAATCATGTTATTTCAGAAGAATTCTGCCAAACTTCCCTGAATATTTATAAAACTGTTTTCTCAAGAAATGTCAGTTGATCAACAATATGAAATAAACTTTCACTAACATTCAGATAACTGGGGAGGGAGAGAGGGGAGGGCAAGAGAAGATGAACTAAAAGTACAGAAGAAAAGGGAAAATTTGTCCCTTAACCCATGATCCTTAAAATTAAAATGAGATTACATAAGTTAGAATCTCAAAAAATACATGATGAAATTAAAATAATCATATTGACCATTATAAACCAATTTATTATATTTACCTACCTTCCATGCAGATGGGATGTGTAAAGATCAGAATTTGAGGGGATTAAATGGGTCTAGTTTCATGAAGGCAAAGTTAGGAAAATGATTTTAAAGGAGAAAAGGAGAGGAGAAGTTAATAGGATACATGAAAGACAAGGTGGAAGTAAATCAAATTTGTGGAAAAAGAATCATATTTGCTAAATGGATACAGAGTTCGTGACAGATCATGGATACGATGAGACAGTAATTTAGCTAAGAAAGAAGAAAGCTAACGAGACCAAAATCTCAGTTATCGTTAAAGGAAACTTGTGATTGACGTGCTAGGACGACTACTTACCCTCGGGTTGAAGGCCAGCATCTGAGGATTGTTAGGATCTACCACAGAAGGATATGGCTCGAAAATGACAACTTTTCTGGGAGATTCCAATGCGGACCTACACATGGATACTAGTAGATCTACCACCTTGAAATACATACATAAGATAGTTACTACCCTTCGGGTTTTATCAAATGCTTTGCCATTGTTTCTCCCTCTCATGGTAGTTAATTAGGAAAGATTCAGGATGGCTAGCAATCTCTGAAATCTGTAATTTGGGACTTTAGATCAAATTTGACCAAACCTGACTATTAATTTAAAGTAACTAATATTTAAAGTTACTTTAATATGTGTTATTTAAAGTAACACATATTAAAGTGACTAATATCTTCATATCTGTCTTTAACATGTCTTTGTCACTAACACATACTACATGCTAACATACTACATGCTAACATTGTTGTAGGTTCTGTGGAATGACAATGAACAAGGCAGGTCCTTGAAAAGGTCTCGTGAAATGTTCCTTTCAATGCAGAAGATGTGCTGAAAAATCAGTTAAATATATGCTTGAAGACATATAGTGTCTGGCAGTGTTAAATGCTATAAAAATAAAGCTGGCATTAGAGACTTAAGCCGTAGGGGGGACTATTTTAGCGTGGTCAGGAAATGTGGTGACGTTTCAACAGAGACCTGAGCGAAGTGGGAGACGGAGACGTGACTAACTGGGGAGAAACCATTCCGGGGGAAGGAAACTGCAGAAAATGAATCTGACATGCCCCAAGGACAGTAAATCTCCTGACACCATCTCACTTCTTCCTACTCTCCTCTGACAAAGGCTATTAATGTCCTCTGATTTGTTAAATAAGACGGCTTTATGCCTATGCGCGTCTATGACTCCTTCGCACAATTCACTAAGAGGCAAGGCGACACAGCAGTCAAGAGCGTGGCTCCCCTCCCTAGTTCCCAAAAACAACACGCTCTAGCAACTGGATCAAGAAAGCCGATACGGTCTAAACGGACAGAGCTCATCAGAACGGACGTACCTATAGGGTAAAGACAAGAGACTTCATAAGGAAGCAGCTGACTTAATCTTTATAGGGAAAGATATTTCCAGAAAGTTTTGAAACAGGCATCTAAAAAATGCATAGTAAGAGTAGGACAATTTTTGATTCTTATGGTTAACGAGGGGGTATTTTGATCTAATGACAGTAGGGCTCACTATGTTGTGTGTATACTCACAAAACACATCCACCCAATCACAGCATCCAGAATTTCCAGTGACCTAAAATAATTAGCAACACTCAAGCCATCGGGTATAGGATCTATAAGTAACACATTCCAAAGTACACAGACATAGATACCCACAGGACTTACTCAGAAAACAGTAGAACTGAAACAGCTAATATGTTTCTACCACACTATTCCATTTATGTGTGTGTGTGTGTTTGCAGTAAATTGGATTCCAAGCAACAGATAATAATAATAAAGACAAATTAAAACCCTCCTTTTTGTTTTCCTCTCCCATACTCATACTCATCCAGAAAGATGCACCGTAACCCAGATACAAACTGTCTTCAGCATAATCTGGTCTCCTAATATAGTAAAACCCAAGCAAGAATCCTGAGAAAGAATCATCAGTAACATAAAAGAGCCTTTTCTGAAACTTTTGGGGCCATGAATTGGTACAATCTTATAAACACCTTAAAAAATTGTATGTCATAGGCTGCATTTGAAGCTTTGTAAAAATACATACCCTTCATGTATGTATGATCAAATGATCTTTGACAAGGGTGCCAAGACCACTCAATGGGGAAAAGACAGTCTTTTCTACAAATGAGGGTGGGAAAACTGGATATACGCATGCAGCAGAATGAAGCTGGACCCTTATCTTACACCACACACAAAAATTAAATCAAAATAGAATAAAAATGTAAACATAAAACCTTAAACTGTAAAATTCCTACAAGAAAACAGGGGGAAGCTTTATGACATTGGATCTAGCAGTGATTTTTTAGATATAACATCAAAGCCATGGGCAACAAAAACAAAAATTGACAATGGGACTCTATCAAACTTTTATGCATCAAAGGACAAAATCAAGAGAGTGAAAAAACAACATGGAATGGGAGAAAATATTTGCAAATAATTTATCTGATAAGAGGTTACTATCCAGAATACATAAAGAACTCCTATAACTCAACAATAAAAAATCATATAAACTTGATTTTAAAATGGGCAAAAGAACTGAATAGACATTTCTTTTAAGAAGCCGTACATACAAATGGCCAAAAAGTATATGAAAAGATACTCAACATCACTAGTCATCAGAGAAATGCAAATAAAAACCACAGTGAGATATCACCTTACAACCATTAGGATGGCTACTATCAAAAAAACAGAAAATAAAAAGTGTTGGTGAGCAGCTGGAGAAATTTGTGCCCTTGTGCACTGTTGATGGGACTGTAAAATGGTGTAACCACTATGGAAAACAGTATGGAGGTTCCTCTAAAAACCTAAAAGTAGAAATTCCATATGATCCTGCTGTAAGTGACAATCCCACTTCTGGGTATATGTCCCAAAGAATTGAAAGAAGGATCTTGAAGAGATGTTTGCACACCCATGTTCACAGCAGCATTATCCACAACAGCCAAGAGGTGAAAGCAACCAAAATATCCATTGACGGGTGAATGGATAAACAAAATGGGGTATACACATATAATGAAACACTATTCACCCTAAAGAAGGAAAAGCCTGTCACATGGTACAAAATGGATGAACCATGAGGACATTTTATGCTAAGTGATATAAGCCGGTCACAAAAAGTCAAGTACTATATGCCTACACTTGTGAAAGATCTAAAGTAATCGAATTCACAGAAACAGAAAGTAGAACGGTGGTTGTCAGGGATGGGGGTAGGGAGAAAATGGGAGTTTTTCAACAGGTATAGAGTTTCAGTTCTGCAAATGAAAAAGTTATGGAAGTCTGCTTCACAACAATGTGAATATACTCAACACTACTGAACTGTGCACTTAAAAATGAGGAATATAGTAAATTTTACATTATGTGTTTTTCACTACAACAAGAAAGGCACAAATGGATACAAAATAACCTGAATAATGTTCCCCTTTCAATCAAATACTTTAATTAAAAACCTTGTGCCCAAAGCTTCAAAACAATCAAAACTACCAAAAAAAGCAAATGCATAGTTTTGCCAATAGTTTCACTAGTGGACTTAAGTAAATTATAATGAAAATAATGGATGTAGGGGTAAAGAAGTTAATTAACAGAATATTTTTGTTAATATATGTCTTAACCTAACTGAAAAGAAACAGTGTAACTACCCTGGCAAAATTCCTTGCTGTCCACCGAAGTTACATACTCCTTGCTTTCAAGGTATAGGGCTACTACTGCCTGGAAGCAACTGCACTGCAAGCGACATTTCTACCCCTTTTGTTTAAGTCAGGCCATAAGACTAGTTTTAACCAATGGACAGAAAGTGGAAAGGGGCTGAGCTGATGAAGAAACAGGCGCTCTTTCTCCCCTTTTCTCCCTTCCCCTCTACTGTATGCCAGTATTGAAGACAGCAGACTCATGTGGTGGACGGAATCCGGTTCCCTCAGTGATCACACAGTTGCCCAACAAACATTCTAACCGAACAGTTGTGTGAGTTAGAAATAAAAGCCTACCATGGTAAGTCACTTTAATTTTATGGTTTATCTGTTATAGGAGTTAGCATTCAGAATCTTTGAACAAAGAAAGGTTTATGTTACACTGTTTGGATTTGTACTCTATTTACATATGCTAATTTTTCCACAGAGTAAAATGATGTACAATGTATTCTGGAAAAGAAGTGAATTTAAAATTGTAGACTAATGGCCTTCAAACATTTCAAGCGTAATTCCTTTTATCTTTTCTTTTTTAAAAAGAAAATTGTATATGAGAGCCCCAAAACATAAAAGAATAAAATAGAGCTGCTGTTCTGGTTAAAGCAGTACTCGGAGGCCTGGAATCCCAGCTGCTGAGACACTCTCATCACAGCGCAGCCTCCTGCAGATCCCTCTGAAGAATGTTCTTGCAACCTCCAGAGCTCCTCAGAGCACCACTAGAAATTCAGGAGTCAACTGATGCAACAAGGCTACAGAGATACAGTTTTTATTTAGAAAAGGAATCCATTTCCATGTAATCTCCAGGATTATAACCAGAATATTGGGGTATCTCCTTTAAAGTGGTGAAAAGAATATTCCGCATTGACTTTGGAGTAGAATCACTAAATTCTCTGAGATTTTTGGATACTGATCTTTAGAGCTGAATCACTGAATTGATCTGATCGAGTATTTGTGCCTTGTTACTATCATTATATAATCCAAAAGTAATTTCACTTTAAGAACCATTATTTTTAGAGATGTATCTCTAGTAAGAGGGGAAAAAGCACCTATTATTCTTTCAACCTAGCCTACTGTTAATATGTTAGTTTTCCTTCTAATCAATTATTCCTTATTTCTAGGCTTTACTTCCTTCCCTTTTCAAATTGTATGCAGGATACTTTACTTCCAGTAAAATGCATAAATATTAACTATACTACTTGAAAAATTATACACATATATACACACATATCCATGTAAATATACATGTATGTGCATATGTACACTCATACACACACCTGTGTAAAGTTTATTTTTACATAGCTATAAATAGCATATATTAAAGTACCTTTTTTTGAGCAATATTAGTTTCAAGGGATGAGAAAAATGTTACCATTTTTAAAAAGAGATAAAGACTCACCATGGATAGATACATTTGAGAAACCCTCTAAGTATAGGCTAGTCATTTTCTTCAGTTTTAGGGATTCTCAGAGCTTTTAGTATGCAAATTTGTGCACATTGGGTATAGGGGCAATATTAAGCTGCATTTTTGAAATTTATTTTAATCATGGAATCATTTTTCACATCGCATATGATCAATGTTCTGTTTGCATTATTTTCATTTATAACTCATTACATCACAAATATGGTCCTTAAAATTTCATCAACTGGATGCATCTCAGTCTAGGTAATCAGTGAAATAACGAGGTTAAGGGAGTCTAAATCCATGAGGCATGGGCTGTCTGTGTTAACTGTTGTATCTTAGTCTAGCGTTCTCCCTGTTACATAGCAGGCATTTGATACTTACTATAAGAATGACCAGATGTCTGTTGCGTGATCATTCTTTCCACCCATCTTTGTGAATTTTATACAATTCTTTTACATTTAGCTTCCTTTGATTTTTAGTGAGACTAAGTATTTTCTCATGTTTCTTTACTAACTATAGGTCCATATTTGTGAATTGTGCATTCATTTCCTCTATTAATTTGTGATGATCTTCATGTTTTTTGTCTCAATTTTTATGAGCTTCTATGTAATTAAGTTTGTAGCAAAACACACTTTTTCATAAGTGTGTTAGCTCTTAGCGTTCACTATTTTTTCAAGTAAAAAGTGTGAAGTATGTATGGACTCAGATCTGTTGATATTTTTCTTCATGATTTTTTGTATCTGCATAAATGCATGAACCTGAGGCCCTACCTAGGCTGTGCACGCTTAATTCAACCCTCCTCTAGTGTGGGTATAATACTTTTAAACAAAACTATTCTTTAAGCCATTTGGAATTTGTTTTTGCACACAGCATAAAGAGATAACCTGTTTCCCCCCCCATGTTGTAGGTCATTTGTTCCCACCTTCACTAAACCATTTTTATTTTACAATACAATGTGATACCTCCTTTAATATGTATTAAATGTATTTATAACTTGACCTATTTGGGGGATAATCTGACTTTCTACTCTTTGCCAGTACTATATTTTTTCAAAATATCATAGGATTACATAATATGGTTTTGTATTTGGTTGGTCTAGCCTCACTTAATTAACACTCATTATTTTTTGTTTTCTGTAATTTTTTTCTCATCTATTTATTAGTATTTCAGTCAGGTTCCATAAATGAACAAAAACTAGTTGAAATTTTCATGACATTGCATGAAGTAATAAATTTTGGCATCTTTACAACGGATTTTTTTCCTTTCCAGAAACATGGGATGCTTCTCTACTTTCAAGTTGTTTCTTTGTTTTTATATTTTCCTTCCTATGTCATAACCATTGCTATTGTAAAATTGAATGCTCTCTTTTTATTACATGTTCTGTCCATTATCTTTTAACCTAAGTTTTAAAAATAAATTGGCTTCCATTTTATGGCACTATAACTTTACAAATAAACATTACATAATGCAAGTGCAAGGGTTTCAGTATCTCAATTTCACCATATAAGAAATAAACGTAATTATTTTTCAAACAATTAAAGTTGGTTTAACTTCTCCTCTTGGCAATTGCAAAAGGACAAAAAACACACATTAGATAAAGCTGGCAAAATTTAGTTTCTATCTAGAAATATCAAATGCTGGTTTGCTTTCTTAATCTATCAAGGAACTATCAAAAATTCATCCCAAAGAAAGGTAAAGTTAGCTAGTGGATCAGAATAAATTTTTCAAATAAAAATATAGAATAGTTAGTATCACATGTTACTACCTGAGCTCCAGTTGCTATTTCATCAGCAGCTTCATTCATTACTCCCAGGGTTTGAAAAGCAAATACACACAGCTCTCGTTCACACACAGTAGGCTACAAAAGAAAAGGGAATCAATTCAACATCTTTTCCCCATCCTCCAATTCCTAAATTAAATGTATGACATTCTTCATAATAAATAGAAAATGCAAAGTTTTAGAATATTAAAAAAATATATTATTTACAATAGCCTAGATGTGGAAGCTACCTAAGTGCCCAATGACAGATGAATGGATAAAGATGTGGTATATGTATAAATACAATGGAATATTACTCAGCCATAAAAAAGAACGAAATATTGCCATTTGTGAGAACATGGATGGACATCGAGGGCATTAGGCTAACTGAAATAAATCAAACAGAGAAAGACAAATGCTGTATGATTTCACTTACATGCATCTAAAAAAAGAAACAAATGAACAAACATAACAAAATATAAACAGAGTCATAGATACAGAGAACAAACAGGTGGTTGCCAGAAGGGAGGTAGGTGGTAGAATGAGAGAAATAGGTGAGAGAGATTAGGAGGTACAAAATTCCAGTTACCAAATAAATGAGTCACAGGGATGAAATGTAGAGTGTGGGGAAGGTAGTCAGTAATAATGCAGTATCTTTGTACGGTGACAGATGGTAACTAGACTTACCATGGTGATCATTTTGTAATGTATAGAAATTTCAAATCACTATGTTGTGCACAAGGAACTAACGAAGTGTTGTATGTAAGTCAATTATACTTCAAAAACAAACAAATTCGTAGTAAAAGAAATCAGATTTGCCGTTACCAGAGGTGGAAGGGTGGGGGGAAGGGGAATTGGAGGAAGGTGGTTAAAAGGTAGAAACTTCCAATTATAAGATAAATAACTACTAGGAATATAATGTACAACATAATTAATATAATTAACACTGGTGTATATGAAAGTTAAGAGAGTAAGTCGTAAGAGTTCTCATCACAAGGAAAATATACTTTTGTTATTTTATTTTCCATTAATATGAGATGATGCATATTCACTAACTTATTGTAGTAATCATTTCATCATGCATGTAAGACAAATCATTGTGCTGTACACCTTAAACTTATACAGTGCTGTATGTCACTTATATCTCAATAAAACTGGACGGGGGAAAAGGGAAGAAATATCACTTTAAAGAATTAAATTTCTAAATTTAGGTAACAATTAGTAAATAATCATTTATTGATACAGAGTCACAAATATGATTAAAAAATTCATTTTCGTTAGTTTTAGGCACTTGCACTTGGAATGATTTAGCAATAGATGAAAATATCCTTTAATTGGAAAATCCACCTCGCCTGCTTAATACACATTTGCACATGAGATGCACTTAAAAAAAAAGCAGATACCTAAGCTGGTGATATACTAATTAACCACAAAGCTGTGTAAAACAAATATAAAAAGGAGAATTCCATTTCTTCCTAGGTAATTTTCTCTGGAAGAAATAGCATGACTCTGCTTACTTGCTACCCAGCTCTTGAAAGATTGGTTTTGTTGGAAAGACTTTTGACTTCAATAACCTCCTGGAGTCAACAGCACTGAAATATACACTCTGCAATTGCTTTGGAAGAGCTCTCATCTTTCAAATCTGATACAGTGTCATCTGCCTGATTTATCTTATCTCCCAAGTTACATTGCATTAGGCAGCTGATGAGGCCTAACACGATGCAGCCTGTGGTGCCCGGCACAGCAGACAGCCGCATTTGTTAGTGCCATTGCTCCTATGTTCACTCATTTCACAGGATAGTTTCATCTACTGCTTAACTAGTGGGGAAGGATGGCCCCATTCTGAGCATCCTCTATGTTCAGAATAGGCCCACATGGTAGCTTTGCAGACAAAAAGCAGGACCAATCACACAAAGATTTCTGATTGACATTCCCCAAAGAGAATCTTCAAAACAAATAAATTGATATATTTCCTTTGTCAGCCTTAAAAGGACAGTTTGATTCTATTTCAGAAACATCAGGAAAAACTACCTATGGTAGGAAACTAATTGGAAAAATTTCTTCATCCAGCCTCAAGCGATATATACTGCTGCATATATTTGGATATACTTAGAGCAGACTGTTCAATTTCTACTACTTTTTCTTTTACTTTACCATTTAACCTATTCTTAATCTATTTTTTCATGTGTATGTGCAGGTATGTTTCCTCCTCAACTTCCCCCGCTGACATTGGGTTGTTTCTTTTGTTTACTTTAGGGGAGCATGGTATGGTCTGAAATAATAACATCAACCATTTTATTGCATATTTACTATAGTGTCAAACACTGTATTGGTGTCTGAGGATAGTGAAACTATACACAAACAAGAACTCGGGGAACATAAACCTTGGAAATCATAAAGGGCCATAGGAATTAATACGTGTACTCTACCAGACACTCTAAGTTCACTGAGGAGGTAAACAGAGACACAGAAGGTACTTCGTTTTTGATAATACTACTGCCAAATAACTTTTTTTTTTTTTTTTTTTTTTTTTATTTTGCGGTACACGGGCCTCTCACTGTTGTGGCCTCTCCCGTTGCAGAGCACAGGCTCCGGACGCGCAGGCTCAGCAGCCATGGCTCACGGGCCCAGCCGCTCCGCGGCATGTGGGATCTTCCCGGCCCGGGGCAAGAACCCGCGTCCCCTGCATCGGCAGGCGGACTCTCAACCACTGCGCCACCAGGGAAGCCCTGCCAAATAACTTTTTTATGACTAAAATCCATCAATCCCAAAGCTGAACATCAGGATAAGGCTCATTTACTATATATGAGTAATGATTGGTTTTTATTTTTTTATTTGAACCCTGGATAATTAATTATACTTACTTTGTGATCATCCTAAAATATACGTATGTATGCATGTGTGTTCACACACATATTCAGGGAATATAAGTAGAAACTACCATTTTGGTACCAAATTGTTGCCTTATGCAATATAAATGAAAATGAAATAAAATATTCTGCTAAACTAGATTGGAAGATAATTTTTTGGGAAGATAATTATTTGAAATTTGAATATTCTATCACCACACTTTGTAGCCAATCCTAGGTATTCATGTGCCACCCTGACTTTGTCTCAAATGATTTTTTACCAATTTCACCCAGACCTCCTGGTCTTTATCTTGGCTAACAGATGAGCAACAACAGTTCAATGTTTTCTCCTGAATTACTATTTCATCCCGCTGCCACATCTGTTTATACTCAAATCTCTAAATCTCCAAATTACATGGACTTACCAGCTGACCCATTATTTTAAAAAATAAACCTACGTTCTTAATGTAAAGCTATGGATTAATTACTTTATAGACACTCCTTTTCTTTCCCGCATTTTTTTTTACTGAAAAGTGGACTTTCTTCCCATACTCAAATTTGTAAGGCTGATTTCTAGGAATATCCTGTTACTGCAACTGTTTGAAGAAGGAAATCAGGTAGGATAGAAAACTTGCTTTTGGCGGGGAGAAAAGAAAGTTTGCTATCATACTGAAAAATCTGAAGTAGAACTACACATTACATTCTTATAAAAATAATTTTATCTTCCTTTTTTTTATTTGGTAAGGAAAGTGCTATATTATGAATTTCTTTGATTATTCGTAGAATAACCTTTTTAGACATGTTCATTAGCATTTGGAATTTCCTCTTATAACGGTTCTTTTCTTTTAACATCTTTATTGGAGTATAACTGCTTTACAACGGTGTGTTAGTTTCTGCTTTATAACAAAGTGAATCAGCTATACATATACATATATCCCCATATCTCCTCCCTCTTGCATCTCCCTCCCACCCTTCCTATCCCACCCCTCTAGGTGGACACAAAGCACGGAGCTGATCTCCCTGTGCTATGTGGCTGCTTCCCACTAGCTATCTATTTTACATTTGGTAGTGTATATATGTCCATGCCACTCTCTCACTTCGTCCCAGCTTACCCTTCCCCCTCCCTGTGTCCTCAAGTCCATTCTCTATGTCTGTGTCTTTATTCCTGTCCTGCCCCTAGGTTCTTTAGAACCATTTTTTTTTTTTTAGATTCCATATATATGTGTTAGCATACAGTATTTGTTTTTCTCTTTCTGACTTACTTCACTCTGTATGACAGACTCTAGGTCCATCCACCTCATTACAAATAGCTCAATTTCATTTCTTTTTATGGCTGAGTAATATTCCATTGTATATATGTGCCACATCTTCTTTATCGATTCATCCGATGATGGACACTTAGGTTGTTTCCATCTCCTGGCTATTGTAAATAGAGCTGCAATGAACATTGTGGTACATGACTCTTTTTGAATTATGGTTTTCTCAGGGTATATGCCCAGTAATGGGACTGCTGGGTCATATGGGAGTTCTATTTTTAGGTTTTTAAGGAACTTCCATACTGTTCTCCATAGTGGCTGTATCAATTTACATTCCCACCAACAGTGCAAGAGGGTTCCCTCTTCTCCGCACCCTCTCCAGCATATAGTTTGTAGATTTTTTTTTTTTTTTTTTTTTTTTTTGCGGTACGCAGGCCTCCCACTGTTGTAGCTTCTCCCGCTGCAGAGCACAGGCTCTGGACGTGCAGGCTCAGCGGCCATGGCTCATGGGCCCAGTTGCTCCACGGCTTGTGGGATCTTCCTGGACCGGGTCACGAACCCGTGTCCCCTGCATTGGCAGGCGGACTCTCAACCACTGAACCACCAGGGAAGCCCTGTAGATTTTTTTGATGATGGCCATTCTGACTGATGTGAGGTGATACCTCATTGTAGTTTTGATTTGCATTTCTCTAATGATTAATGATGTTGAGCATCCTTTCATGTGTTTGTTGGCAATCTGTATACCTTCTTTGGAGAAATGACTATTTAGGTCTTCTGCCCATTTCTGGATTGGGTTGTTTGTTTTTTTGATATTGAGCTGCATGAGCTGCTTGTAAATTTTGCAGATTAATTCTTTGTCAGTTGCTTCATTTGCAAATATTTTCTCCCATTCTGAGGGTTGTCTTTTCATCTTGTTTATGTTTTCCTTTTCATTAGGTACCATTTGTTTACTTTTGTTTTTATTTCCATTTCTCTAGGAGGTGTGTCAAAAAGG